CTTGGGTCTTTATTTTCCTTTTGATGAAGAAAAAAAAATTAGTACCACCCACCGCTACTCGGCTGAGCCCACAGGGAGAGAGGTGGTGATGCATAGAGTGACCCTTTGGACATTGCATGGGGACAGAGAGGACTAGGGTTTGGAAAACTCACACCTCCATAGTCCCATGAACTCTCAGTAGCTCTGCCACACCACACGTCACTTCATCCATCAGGCTTGAGGCAGACACAGTGGAGATTATTTTACTTTGGGACATGAAGAGGAAGATATGGAAAATTTGTAGTTTGTGTGACAGCACTACTGTCAAAGCCAGGGGGTTCTCTGCTAAGGATTCACATCAACCTACTTTGTCAAGAGAAAAGTCTGTTTGGATTGTAGTTTGTGAAGAGCTAACATAACATTCCACTTATAGGGATGAAGTTTAGGAGTTTGGTTGGGGCAGGACCTACTGTGTTGACTGTTCTGACTTTGCTTGCCTGTGCTTTATAAATAGCCTAATAATGAAGCTAGGATTCCATTTTATAAATAAAACATCGTAATTGTGTAGAAATAGTACACTGTCATCATAGTTAGAATTTCTGAGACCATTTTTCAGCTGAATACATTAGGTGCTTCTAGAAAGATATGTCATCACCAATGTATATGTCAGCGAGATCTACCTGCCTTCTATCTTCTCTAAGGGCTATTTTCACTCTAGACAAAGTTCTATCTGTAAGAGCTGATGGTTCTTTTAAATAGCATCAGGGAAGTAGCCTAAGAAGGCTCTTCTCAGCCTCCTTGCAGTGGTGCAGATAATATTGCTTAAAGATTCTGAACTTACTCTTGAAAGAGTGGCATGAATTTCCTATTCAAAGGATATGTCAGAACATCTCCAAGACCAACTGTTCATTTTCATCTCCATGGTTGGTGACCTAGATATAGAGTTGAATTTCCCTTATTAATTTAGCTTTCTTGGATAATTCTTTCAGAAAGTAGCTCCTACTGGGCACTGAGGTCGGCTATTTTTCATTTGCTAGAGCTTCTGTTGATGAGAGATGTAGAAGGATTATAAAAATGGTCAGAGGAGCTTGGATAAAATCTTCTCCAAATGCCCAGAGCTAGAAGGGAGTGAAGGAGAGAGAGTCTATCCGCTAGCCAGCACTATATTCAGCAGCCAGTAAAGTCCTCCAAAGTCACTGCATTTGTCTCCTTCACAGGACAGACTCACTCCAAGCTGATATACACTGAATGCAGATGTTGCAGGTACGGGGTTGTACATTCATTATGTCATTCAGTTGCTATACCCATAGTTACCTCCAAAGTCATACATCTAACAAAGCTGGTGCTAGATTTCAAAGAAGTACTTGGAACATGGATCCCTTTTAGTATTCTGAAATGCACACTCCTGTGAATAACCACAAGGGGGTGCCCTGCCCTAACTCACCATATTTTAAAAGCAATGGTTTAATTTAGTGGTGTGTGTGTGTGTGTGTGTGTGTGTGTGTATCTTACAATTTATACATTCTAGTTCCACCCAGACTTCCTTTCTTCCTTTTCTCATAGTAGTGGGGATGGAACCTAGGCCCTCACTGTAGACAAGCCCTCTACTGCTGAGCTACAACCCCCACTACATTTCTGAACATTTTCTGCCTAAATGGCATGGCTCTGTTTACACTGAAACATTCCAGACTGATGTAAACATGTCCACAAATATTGGGTGTTAACTCCAGGCTTGAAACAAAAAACCCAGTGGGGAGCCTTTGTGCTGTGAGTAAAAGGCATGCTTACACCTCAGTAAAAGTATATTCTTTGTCTTCCTAAGATCAGAGAAAGACAATTGCTCTTAAGGAAAACTGTATGCTTCAGCCAGGAAGGATTAGTCACAATTAAACAGATTGTTTCGTGCGCATGGTCAGGGCTTACATAGGAATGCTCTTTAAAATTTGTGATCTCCAGCCTTAGTCCCTCCCAGCAAAGCTTGTGTAATTCATGGGCTCAGTTTTCTTGTTTCTGTGTCACCAACAAATAAGTTGGCAGACCAACTGTGATACAACTGTCATTGGATGAAAGCTTCATCTATGTATGTCTAATGCTGGCAAGTGATACCTGGGCCTCAAAGGACTGAAGCTTAACCCCCACCCCCACACACACATCTCTAACTCCAGTTGTGTGACATTTAAACTTACAACATCAGGACATATTGAAAGGCAAATGTATGGGCTGTAAAATCAATCTCCCTTCCACCCAAAAGAACCAGCAGTATTTAGAATGCGGTATTTAGAATAGAGGAAATCTGAGTACAACAATGGTGAGATATATGGCCAGCTAAATCATAATCCAGTAGGCCTGACATGATCGGTTCGGTTTCTATACTATATTCCACGGCACCCAATGTGATGAGCCATGGGATGCGTCATGACATGGGATAGGCCAAGCCTTTCATGTAGTCACTCTTAGACCTATGGAGCTAAGTCATGGCTCAGCAAACAGAACAAACTGTGGCAGAAAACTTGAAGAAAAGACATGTTCTAAAGCAACTTCCTCTGAGGTAAACTTCCAAACTACCATCCTGAGGGAGGCAGTTACATGATGTTCTGAAGAGGTGTGAAGGATTCCATCCTACAGGGAAGTTAACAGGAAGGAAGCAACTCAAAAGGTTTCAGGAAGTGCCTGAAACTTACTAAAAATTCTACTTTCCCAAAGGTATATAAGCAGTAAGTACTGATGAGAAATACTCTCAGAAAATTAGACCTACCTAGAAAAGGAAGAGAACAGCTAAGCTTCCTAAAACAAGCTCACCTGAAAAAGATTCTTTCCAATCTGACCAGCTGCTTATAGGTTGTGCAGTGTAGTCCAGGTTTCCAGCTTTTGTGAGCTGTTGCCTATGCCGGTGTGGGCTTTGGTGATACAGCTGTCTCACTTCCCTATCTGGAGTGAACAGACATTTGTTCATGTCTCCCAAGGAATAAGGAGGGGGAGTGGGCAGTGAAAATAGGATTTGGAAAATTCAGAGGCTCCAGATGTGGCTCAAATGTGAAAATATAAGAATCAAGGTAAACTGCTCCTACCAGTAATATAGTGTAAATACACTTTATACTGAATATTCTTGTCAGCTTTTATTTGATAGTTTAAATCTAGTAAGCATCTGGGAAAACCAAGTGCCCCACCATCTGGGGCCTGCAGAATTAATTAATTAACTAATTAATTAATTAATTGATTAACAAAAGCAAGATAACCAGTGATAGCAAAACTGCAAATTTGAAAGTAAATGTAAACATTTGAAGAACATTAGAACTGGCTGTAACCCCTGATAAGTCCACACTTTTCTGACATGTGACTCTTAGAAAAACTGAGCTGAAGAAGAGATTAAGAAGGAACAGTAAGAAGGCTTTAGACAGAGGAGATTTGGGTGGAGGTTTGAAGATAACTTTTGCATCAGGAAAGCTTGACTTCAAAAAATAATAATATGCCACTATGGTTTGGATGTATAATGTTCTCAAAAGTTCAGCCTGGTGAAGAACTGGTCCATCTTTTGAGTGCTAAACCTTTAAGAGGTGGTCCTAGTAGGAGATCTTCAGGTTACTAGAGGTACACTCTTTAGAGTGCTTGTCGGATCCCAGTATTTTACTGTAATTTTCATTCTTGGCCATAAGATAAGCAGTTTTGTACCACAGTAGTATACTGTTACACAATTGGAAGCTAAAAGCCATGTGTCTGCACGGTCACACAAGCCTCCAGAATGATGAGCCAGAGATGCAATGATTGCACTGGCTATTTGTCAAGTAGGAGAACACAGATACAGCTTCTGAATTTCTAAAGAGAACCAAAGGATACCCTTCCTTTGCAGCACCGTGTTGAGAGCACTCATATTTGGAGTAGGGAACTGAGCCTTGCCTGTGGGTGCATGCAGGCTTTAAAGGTGAAGTTATATAAAATCAGGGGCTTCATGATGTTTTCATGCATTTCATAGTACTCTGTTACTGTTCAGTCCATTGCCATCCTGTCCTTTTGCTTACCATATATACATGTGATAAATCCAGATTCCTCATGAAAGAAAGCATGAGATAAGTGTCTTTCTTCCTATTGCTTCTTCATGCTCCTCTCCTGGTAACCTCTACCTCCCACACATAAGTTCCTCTTCTACTTTCAAGTCCTATGCATACATGTTTAAGTCCAGATTCCACACGGGAAGGAAGTGCTGTTCAGTTAGGCATGACATTTTTATCCATGCCATGTATGTCTTTGTTTCTTGCTGGGAAAGGGCCAATTGGAGACATTTCTAGCATTACTGTGACTGGAGAAACCCTCTCCAGATGAAGTGACCTTATCAACTTGTCATATTAATTCTCTCAAAATTGGAGTTGGTAAGTGTATAACTGATAACAATTAAAATCCTTTTAACATGATGATAATCTTCGTAGGTCAACCAGATGAGTTGTAATTTTGTTCACAAGAGCAGGTATCTTTGAAGTGCACAATTACCTTACCGCTAGGTTCTCATCGAACCAAACTGTCATGGAGAGACCCACCAGCTTCTGAGGCTGCCTACTGTGTACCCTCCAGAGATAGTCATTCTGCTACCGACATTACTCAGGTCACTTCCCTTGAAAGGCAATGGAGTGACATTTGCTTGGCTACAGAAATATACAGACAAGTGGACACAGTCTGATCCAATCTACTTTATAATTTAACAGGGCATGACATTGGTCCGTTGAATGATGGGGCATACTGAAACAAACTTGCAAACTGAACACACATCACTGGCTATCAGTAGGAGGGAATGTAGTGACCTGCTTCATTCACAGAAAAGAACCCCAAATGCAATACTTGGTTAATATGGCCATGCTCTACACTGTGCTTGTCTTCTTTGTCTCCATTAAACTTCAAGTTTTCTCACAACTTCATCATCTGGCCTCCATCCTGAGGGCTCCTGCAGGCACATAAGGCTTGCCCACTAGTGTAAGAAGTGACGTGGTGTTCGCTTGTTGTTTTGTAGGTCTCACAAATAAAGGAGAGGAACATTCACCAGAGTTAAAATATTTAATGACAAAAATCTGAGTTGCTAGAATAGTGAACCAACAAAACAGCTGTTAACTTGTCTCTGAATGAAACAAAAATGGTACTCAATATCATAGAGAATTTCTGAAAAACCAAGAACAACACACATGAGCAGCATCACAATTCTGAAATTAGGAGTGAAACCTATCTTAACTAGTATCTCTTATTTAGGGCACTCTGTAACTGTTTCTACATAAATGCATAATCTTTGCTAGTCACGATAGTATAAAACAGATTTCACTATAATTTTAGGTTTAACACACAATATTACTTCTACCAGACCTTAAAAAAAGTTAGCTACTGATCTTGTTACATTTTACAAATACATTCTTTAAAATGAAACATCAACCTGAATAACTGCATAGAGCCTGGACATAGATATCTAATCATTCTAGTGAAGAACACTACAGCTACATTCCAGGAAGAAGTGGAAATGCTGGCACGTTCCTTTTTTATGCATTGTCAATATAATTTGCGAAGTCCTTCAGAGCAAGACAGCATTTCCAAAATTCATAATGACGTGCAGAAATAAAATCAACACCATAAGTCTTCTAGAAAGCTCAACCAAATGACTTGGTCCCATATGACAGGAGTCCTCTTAGCAAATTCATGGTGGTTACACTGCATTAGCATTTTATATTGCACCTTCTACCAAAGAATTGCAACAGACTTCACATATGTTATCAAGGGGTTCTCTGCAAGAGGCTGGACAGCTGAAGAGGGGCAGTAATTGTTGTTATAGCTTGTGTGTGTGGTGGAAGACAAGCAGGACGGATCATAGGCCAAGGTCATCGTGATGGCCTAGATGCTGACTGATCAGAAGACAAGCTAACAGAGCTCAGGTGGGCTTTTCTTTTAGTTCAGACTATTTCCAACAAGATTTAGGCCTAAAGTGATCGAGAGAGGGAACAGAAAGAGGGCAGGCGCAGGGCATTTCCATTCATATGCTGAGGAGGAAGCCTCAGCTTTCACATTATACTTCAGCCTGTCCAGAGACAGCTGCCCCAAAGTTGTCGTCAGGTATCCAACAAGTGATTTTATTGTTGACTTGAGTGGGGGAATGTTAGACTTTCTCTCAACTATTTATATCAACCCTCTGAAACTAGAATCCAGTTTTAGCAGACAAATATCTGTGCTTTCTGAGCTGAAGTCTGCAAGTGAAATCAATTTGGAGTGTTATTTGGGGGCTTTTAATTTTTATTCTTATTTTTTAGGAAACAGTTCCGATAGTCAGTAGATGGCAGGTTCCTGGCTTTTTAAAAAAATTGTAAGACACCTAAAGAAAAGCTTAGGATATAGTAAACATTCATAGTCCTCTATGTACATTTTACAGAATGTTCTTCACCTGGATTATCTGCCCAAGAGGATTCTAACGCTTGTTTGCAGCAAATCCATCCTCTTCCTGACATTATACTCATGATATTCCACAGAAAATGTGCTCTTCCTCAGGGGATGCGTTATTAGGAGAACGTAAGCTATTTAGATCAGCATTAGTAATCTAAAGTCGTCTTATGTTGCTGCATTAGAGACTACATCACAAGTAAACAGGGGACTCGGTGGAAAGTAAAGAAGGAAAGGGTCCTGAAGACCCAGGCGTCTGAAAACTCCATGCACTGCAGTAAGTGGTATGTGTAGCTTGCCTCATTGCTTTATGAGCAACAAGTAATTTTTTTTTTTAAATTTTAATGTCTAGCTTTTAACCCTCAAGAAAACAAAATTTTCACAGTCTAAATGCAGTATTACCTTGAGCAACACATACGCCAAAGGCCTGGAAGAGACTCTGTTCAATCTGACAGCACTGTGAAGGCTTGTAGCCATGCTGTCTGTATCAGACCAGGCAAGCTGAAACTGACGAGTATGCCATCTGTCAAGAAGTACATGTTAAACAACACAAAAGAAACTAAAAGCCACAACAATCCAGAAATCTCCAATATCCAAACACTAAAGGCTCTTTCCCAAGGATCTTGTGAGAGTCCCTCTAAAATTGGGCATAGCTTTGTAAAAAGAGAAAAAATAACATAGCATCTTTCGACATTATAATTTACATATGTTTATCTAGACAATTCATTTATTATATTTGACTTTATTCATTATAATATTGTTTTGTGTATGTGTTTTATATGGTGTGCATATGTGTGCTGGGACACATGTATGGAGGTCAGAGGTCAAATCTGTGGAGTCTAGTCACCAGGTTTATTTTATGCTATAAGCATCTTCATTCACTGAGCCATTTCTCTGACCCTAGATATATTATGTATTTTTAGAAATATAAGTCCCCCCCCATGTCAGCTACTATAACTTGGGACAATGACAACAAGAGAAATATCCATAAATCCACAGTGGTTTTAAAATAGGTTTTACAATAGGTCTTTACATTCAAATTTTTATCCTTCATATAATAATTCCAACGAATCAGACTGGAAGAAAGGAGCAGAAATGTTTATGTGTCAGCCCAGAGAGTAGATGTCTCTTTGATTTGTTTTGTGAATGCTCTTGATGGTTCATGCAAAAAGATTAACATGAAAAGACTAAATCCAATTCCCCCGATACATCCATGTGTTTCCCACAGTACAGACTTGAGTCTCAGGATAATAAATTTTAATTTTGCTCTTCAAATGAAGAGGACTAGGAGAGAAAGTGAAAGCACTGCTCGGCTTTTATTTGTGCCCAGGACCATCATCTGATGCCACCATATTGAACTATTTTGTTGCTTAGTTTCAGAGAGAAAAAAAAATACATTTTGCTAATTTATACCTGGCTTATTATTTGGTCTGAATTTCATATTTGAACTACAAAAACAATTTTCCTTCAAAAGGAACATATGCACACACACACACAGATACACACTCACACACATACAATGGAAAAAGTAAAAACATAGCTGATGCTATTGCAACATTCCTTAGCAAGAGAGGGAAATGTATACACACAACACATTGTCATTCATTCATATTAACATCTGGCGATGAAAAACCAGACCATTCAATGTCTTTATATTGGGAAAACAAACAAACAAACAAACAAAACAACAGCAAAACCAAAGAAGCCGCCATCTGGAAGTCTTGTAATAACTGCGGAACAAACTCCTCCACTTTCTTTAGAGGTTCACAAGGATAGGCAGTTTCTCAACATTTGTGCTTCATGGCGAGCTAAGGAGAGAGAGGGAGAGGGATGAAAACAAAAGAGACCTTATTAATAGGCAGCTTCTCTTTACTTTTTCTTCCCACATCCAGGATGAGAGATCTTATGCTTGGTGACAACCACCATTCCTGTCCACCGTGGCTCCTGGTAGATGTGTAATACTTTTGCAAATAGGTCACAGGACACTGCCCTTTGCCTCTTCCTTACATTAACTTTGATGGTACATGTGCCTTCTGGTGGAGGATGCTGTATGGTGTTCTTTCATTCCACAGAAGCATCGATGAGAACAAAATGCACAGAGAGAATAAGTGGCTCACCCCAGGGATAGCTAGGATTCCCAGGTCTCTTGATATGTCAGGAAGCAACCCTCCTGGGGTGTTAATACTTGATGATATCCCATGAAGTGTGAAAACTTAACAGTGTGTAGAGAGGCATTCTATACAATATCCATCCTGGACTTTTAATCAGATCCATAGTTCCTAGTAATTTAGTTGTTTTCTCTTATAGGGACAAACAATAGATCTTAACTTCCAACTACTAATGTTTTGCCTCATCCTGGAACATGTCAATAATCTATCATTCCAGCAAAGCCCAGGGCAGTCACAATGTCATCTTATTGGTGGCCACAAGAGAAAAGTTAGAACCCTGAGCTCCCATTAGGAAACCAGAATCAACATTTCTTCTTGTGACAGAGGATGACTGGCCATTGTCCTAGTTATTGTCTCTAAGAAGACAATAGCTGAAAGTCTTAGCTGACTTTCTTAGCTGAAAGTCTTGATCCATTTTGTATTGTAGAGCCAGTGAAGATTTCCTCAGACCTCCTGCTGGCTGATGCTGACGGTTAGCCAACTGTCAGATGAAGGTTTGTTCTGCGTACACCCATTTTGCTATACTGAGTGATAAAGCTTTTTTGGGGGTTGGGGGTCAACAACTGTGCTGAAGCCTAAATAACTTCTGCCATTAAAAAATCATTTAGTTATCGGTGCAGTGAAGTGAGAGAGGTAGAGCTATGCCTCAGACCTAGTCCAGTCTTTAGCCACATTCTGGGCCCCTGACTGCAGTGCCTATGCTTTTGTTCTGCCTCTAGTTTTCATATATTATTTAACAAAGAGGTCCATCAAATAAACAGAGCTGTTAAGTGTTGTGTGTAATGAATTCCAACCATAAATATTTGATCACAGCTACTGTCTCGGTATTCATTGAGCTATTAACTTTCCACTAAATAGGCTTGTGCCAGTTCACACATAGCCACTAATCTTGAGGAATGATTGTACTGCTGCTCAAGCTAGACCCTGGGCCATGGCCACCTATATTTTGCAGAAATACAATTGGATAGGACAATTGGCTACAGAGCTCTTATTATAGTCCAAATATTTGTATCTTCCCCAGAGTCAGGTGCCGAAACTGAACTGCCATGAGATGGCATTAGGAGGTTGGCATGGGAGGTGACTAGATCAGGAGCTACAGAGTCCTCAGAATGAACTAGAGACTCTTTCCCTTTTCATTATGATAGGATACTTTCAAAGGTCACCATAAATGAACTAGGAAAAAAGGCTTTCATGGTGAATGAAATCTAACATCCTGACCTTGGACTTCTTGGTAAAAAATGAATTCATTGATTAATCAACTATAAGGTTTTAAGAATTTGTTTGTTTACTTTAAGTAGCTTGTGTTCAGATTAATAACAGCTAGCAACAAGTGGTAATACCCTGGTTTATAAAAGTACCTGGGAATGGAGGACTTTAGAATTAAGACTAGAAAAGGCACTAAACAAGATTAAGGATCCAGATTATACAGTTTTGCTGCAGAGCCTGAGTGCCCCAAAGTCAATGCTTTCCCATTGTTTCCCATTCCTGTAGGACTGTCACAGATTAACTCAGGTGCTGGAGCTCCCCCACTGAAAATTCTCCCTGGTTTATTTACTGAATATTTCACAGAACTCCCCTACTAATGCTTTGTCATCTATTCTACATAACGATAATAAAAAATCATTACTGATATTATGGATGTGATATTATGGATGTGTCTAAAGGCTCAAACCGAGCAACTGCAACAGAACAAACAGGAGAGAGAGAGAGAGAGAGAGAGAGAGAGAGAGAGAGAGAGAGAGAGACAGAGACAGAGAAAGCTTTTCCCTCCCAGAGAGCATAATGCCTGTTGTCATCTCTTCCACCCTGGTGCAGAAGAGTCCAGATCAACTCTCTTTGCTGTGAGAAATGTCATTTGAGGCTGCTAGTGTGGGTAATGTTCTTGCCTGCTGACTCACCACCCATGGCGGGCTGTCAAAGCCTGGAGCACACTACATCCTTGAGCTCTTGGGGGCAGGGGAAAGTGAGTGAGGCAGCTTGTGCTGCGAGTTGCTCTTTCCTAATACCTGGGATTGTGCCAAACCCACAGCTCAGGAAGGAACAATACTTCCTCATGACAGGATAACAAGAACTGGGGTGAGGAGTTTGCTGGGCAGGGAGAGAAGCATTTTCCCTGTTTCTGTTCTAGAGGAGACAGGCACCCACACAGCTAGAGGATGTGGTTGTACAGAAGAGACCTGTTCACTCTTGTACCTGGGTCACTGCAGGGGTCCTGGGAACAATAAGATAAAAAGAAAGCTTTTTACTCTAATCTAGAAAGACAGGCCACAATTGCCATTGGACCTGGTAGTCCTCAGAGGAACTGTCACCTGGGATGATTGTTCTCTGCTGTGTGCACTGCGTCTTCCTCTTATAAACACAGCCCACTCTTCATGAGTCAACAGGCCACACATGTCTAGGGGGTTGGGGGTGGGTAGAAGGCCTGGTTCCACCTCCAAATCTTCTGCTCACTAACAGGCCTGGCTGGGGCTTGGCCAGTGAAATGACATCTTCATGGTAAACCTATGGTCAAATCCACAGTTCTAACCCATGGAAAAACAGCCACCCCTTATCTAAAGAGGTCGGCTTGGTCACAACAATGCTTCTGAGGTTAATGATTCATGAGCACATATCCCAGTTTTAAAAAACTGCAAGCTCTGACACTGTCTTACACTCCTTCGTACATACTCACCCAGCGACTTTTCTCCCCTGGGAACAACTTCTAGAGGGGAAACCAATTAAAATGCCAACTTCTCTTGCCTGTTCCATCTCTACTAAGACCAACCTGCCCTGCACTCGCCATCGCTGGAGACCCTTTGGCATCTGATGGCCTCATCAATCTCTGGTCTCATAGGCTCTCTGTTCACAAAGTGTAGGCTTCCCACTTTCTTTCCTTTTGAATTTGGATCACACAATATTCATCTGTATTCCTTTTTTAAATTGCCATTTTGAAGATTCTCAGTCATCTGTAATAATTCCTTAGCCTCATTACTGAGCCCATTATATCACCAAATGGGACAGGCTAAGCAGAAGCTATGTTTATTGAAATAAATCAAACAATTTAGATTGATGTGCATGCTCCTCTTAGCACCCAAGGAGGTAGGTGTTGTTATTAATCAATTGCCTTTGTTTAACTGATAAGAAAACATGGGCTTTGAGAAATTTAGCATTTGTCCTAGGTCACCCAGATGGGAAATGATATAACTGGACTCAGACACAAGAAGTTAACTACTATACCATGTTACTTCCCAACCATTCAACAAACTTGGCCACAGTCAGAGAAACAGTGGCAATGGCCAAGAACTTGGATGTTTGTACAACCCTTGGTGAGAGGGACGCCTATGTGGATGACATCCAGGTATTGTCTACCCCACATTAGGAAGAATAATTTCACAGCTTCCTTGGTAACTTGATTTGTGGTTTAATCATTAGCTGAAATTATTTTAGCAGAGCTTTATCAGTGCACCACTGTGGGAAGGCAAAAGAGATAATTGCCAAGACCACTCGATCTTTGCAAACTTTAGGATAGCTGTAATATTACTTCCTTTTGCTTTCTCTTTCCCAACTCAACACTAAGGATTTCTACACAGATCCACTGTCCTTCTCTCATTTAAATACCTTAATTTGCTTTATGTATTAGTGTATCTGGGCATGAAATCTCTCATATTTCCATGCCATCATTTCCTTGTACCAAAGCCTTGGGGAACATGCATCTGGGTTTACTCTGTCACAGCTCATCATTGTGAAGTCCTGATGCCAACTTGTCTGCTGGCTTTCTCAGACAGACTTGGTTAGTTCTCCTCCAAGGAACTCTACCTGGGTTTCAGAAGCAGCCATGCACTAAGACCCTGTTGTGATAGAGTCACTGAAGCCATCTGTCAGGAGTCAGTCTCCTGGAGTGCTTTCTTATGAGCCCTGAAGAAACATCTTCTGTCCACTAGAACATATTTTTCTTACTGCTTCCTGGTTGCCCATTCTTGTTTCCTTACCAGAAGTGGAGTATTCTGTGGATGCTAATTGAATTACTCTCCCTTGAAGATCAACTAAAAACTATCTGCAGATCCAGATCATGAGCCCACCAGGCCAATATGTCACCAGTAGAAATGGTTCCAAGAAACTTAAATTCAAGTCACTAGCTAGAAACTAACTACTTTTTGATCTGAAGTATAAGCATAGTAATAAATCTTTATAAGCTGACCAGTGATCTCCTCTTTCCTTTGGTTTATGATTGCCTTAGATAGAAGCTGCCAGTATATAGACCTTTTCCCTCCGGAAAGGCAGTTCTCAGCAAAAAGTAAACCATGCATGCTAAGTATTCAGTCACATGAGAAGTACCACTCTCTGAATTCTGGGACAGGAGATACTCTTGCTGCTATATCTGCTCAATATTAGAGATTCAGAATGGAGGTTTTGAATCCACACTCAGCCAGTTTCAGAGAAGAAACTAGCCTGGAGACAAGGGCTTACTTTATGTGTGATGAAGAGATAACAACATGTGACATACAATGCCAGATACTTAGAATGAGAAAGGAAGAGAGCGGAAAAGGACACCTGAGAAGCTTCATGTCCCACACTATTCTTTAATTGTGGCCAATGTCAGGGATATATTGTGAGAGCTGATCTTACTTCTCCCTCTTCCTGTGACCTGAATGTGAACCCTGATATTTAGGGCAGTAATTAAAGATTTCCTTTGCTATTTTAAGTACCTAAAAGTCAGACAAGGTCAGAAAAAGAGATGAGGCCATTAGAAAGAAGATGGTGACCACAAAATCCAAGTACAAGGAGAAAAACTGCAAAGCTCTAGTTAATTAGACAATGATTCACCAAAAGGAATGACAATCACAAAATGCTCCTAGATTTTCTTACCCACCGTGGGGACAGTTTCTTGATATTATGACCTCTGATAATCCATCATGGAGACCCTGCTCTGAGCAGGCTCACCTTGTGTGCAGTTTCTGCGAATTGCTGGGCACTGTTCTTCATGTCTTCTGTCTTCTCTTCTGCTCGGCCTAACCGTTCCCCACGCTCATTCAAGGCCTGGCTTGCCTTCTGTACTGCACTGGTCACGCTATCAGCTGCTGAATGGAGGATGCTGTTTCCTGGAAAGATTACAAGAGTGTCAAGAACTAGCTTGGCTCCCCACAAAGACAGATCCCCACACTATGGAAAGGCCCAAGGTGGATGGCAGCAGAAAATAAGTTTCCATTCTTTTGGGTGACTAATTCACTTATAGGAAGAGTACCCAAAGATCTGCCACAGGACTAGGGCAAATCCTGCCATCTGCTCTCCACTCCACCACCATTTTACTCTACTCAAGGAGGCTCCAAAAGATGGAGCCCACTGGGATTTAAGATGTATGTGCATAGGTAAATGGGAACCCTGACAAGTTCACAAAATTAGGAAAGTTCATTAGGATATATTTGTATCTTATGTACATATTGGTTTTATTTATTTATCTTTTCTCTCATGTTCTGTGTGTGTGTGTGTGTGTGTGTGTGTGTGTGAGAGAGAGAGAGAGAGAGAGAGAGAGAGAGAGAGAGAGAGAGAGAGTTAGCTTAAGAGTTAGTTTAAGTTGGAGGACAATGTCTGAAAATTGGTCCTATTCTTCCACCATGTGAGCCCCAGCAACTGAACTTAGTTAACTTGGTGGTAAATGCCTTACCTGCTGAGCCACCTCACTAATTATTTTTTAAGACAAGCATCTAACTCTGGTGAGCCTGAGATTCCATCTTTTGGCCTCTGCCCCCAGCATGAATTCCCTGCTCTATATAACCTGTATTTCCCTCACCCTCTCTGCCGGGGGGTCTGGACCCAGGGCCTGGTAAATGCTTGGCAAATCTTCTACCACTGGCTGTATGCTCAGTTTTTCAGTTCATTTTCATCTTTAGTTAGGTTCAATAATCCCCAGAAACTTGAGGTCATAGAGATTTCCTACACAGAATTTTCTACATCACTACCCTTTTACTTTACTCCTTTATCTAGCAATTAAGCCACACTCCCCACTGCATGGCTAAGAGCTGTGATTCAATAATAAGTTTTAAATTCAAAGGTGATATGATGGCTTCCAACCTCCAATCCTATGCTATGGCTTGGATGCTCGCGCTTCCGTATGTGAGTTCTAGAATAGTAAAAGCAACTTGCTTTTGAAAAAAAAAATTAGCATTTTCAAACTCCAGAATGATACCAAAGAAAGTAGAAGCCAACCACATCTCCAAAGGTCATGTATCCTTGATATTCCATTTGCCAAGACAGGCAGCATGACTTTGGTGGTAAACAGCTTGCAGGTACATAAGCCACTGAGGACAAGCACATTACCCAGTGACAACCTCAGGAAAATTTATAGCTTTATTTTGTTAACATTGAATGGCATTTTATAGAATAGTTTTATGTCTTTCAATAAGTTGATTACATCATTTTACTTTGTACCTGAGATGGATACTTCTAGCCACAGATAGCTTTTAATAGAAATGTAATTTCCACTAGTCTCAGCTACAAAGGCTGAGTAATTTATCCTTTGTGGGAACATTCTAGAGTTTGTGGAAAAGAATCTCAGGTGAGGAGTGCCTGGTCCAGAGGCAGCACTGAAAAAATCACCTTCCATTTATCAAGGGCCTAATACACTCTAAAAGAAAAAAAATGATTAGGGTTTACTAATGTCACTACTCATAGCTAGCACCACATAGCTATGTATCCATTTATAGAGACACAGTGACATCCATATACATAGACACAGTGAGTACAAACTTGAGTTGATTGTACCCCAGGGAAATCTGCTTGGGCACAGAGGAAATTCTGGGACTTTGAAACAAATTTTAGAGAAGAAATCTTAGTCTTAAACACTGCTTTCATACTGTACCAGTAACTATGATAACATTCCATTATCACAGCTAACAACACAGGACTTTGCAAGCAGAAAAACATTCAAAAATATTGCTTCATTTCCTGTCCAAAACTCAGAGGAAGCAGATTGAAAGCAGAAAAGCTTGTACGTGGTCATCACACCAGAAAATTAGAGTGTTACCATTGAACCTTGGTCTGCTGATGACTCCATCCTTTCTCACAGACATGATGTAACAATCTCTATGACAGGATTGTGGGCAGACTAGCACATGGGTGTAGGTTTGGTTTGGATATTTCCCAAGGTAATTCTAGACTGCATTGAGAATGCCCTTGAAGAAACTGCTAGACATTGACTCCCCAGGGAAGTGCTTTCTGGACTCAGCTGTCAAAATGCACAGAGGTGTAAGCACTACTACAGCTGTGGTGTAAGGAGCCAGGCTACAACCTTGAGCTAGGAATAGATTTTTAACATTTTTGCCAATGTGGTGCAGGTTTTACAAGCATGCAAATCTAAGACTTACAGGGTCAGAGTGGCTTAATTAAGGCTTCAGAAAGCCACAGAAGCCAGGCAATGTGAAGCGGGCTTGAATTCCCTGTGAGGGCATGAGTCTTTTGTGTGAAGCTGTGAGGTTGAAGTACATAATACACAGGAGGTCCCAGGAGAAGCCAGGACTGTGGGATATCGATCTCAGAAACTTTCAGGTATGGAATGGAAGGAAACCAAGAAAGACCATGTGTGTTACAGCAGCAGAATTAGAGAGATGTTGCTACTAAAGGCAACCACCCATGTGAAGCCATCTCCAGAAGCCAGCCAAGCAGCAGCAGAATTTGGTGTTTTCCCTGCCATGTTTTGATCTTGCTTTGGTCTGATATTTCCTTGCTATGTCCTCATTCCTCCTTAACAAAATGGGAATGTTTACTCTGTGTAATTGCATATTGGAAGTATGTGATATAGAGGTTCATAGGTAAGTGACCACTTTGAGACACAGATTCACTATGGATTTTTTAAACTGTTAACATTATAAGACTTTGGGGATTTTTCAAGATGGGATGAGTGTATTTTGCATTGTGAGATGTCCTAAAGTGTACGGGAATCAGGGCTTTAAATGTAGACAAGGTGGGCACCTGAGATGGTTAATCTCAGTTATCAATTTGCTGACAGAGTTTAGTGATTCTAAAAGATACTCAGACTGGATCCAGGAGGATGTTTTCGTACAGATCTGATCATAGGTGACACTAGAACTGGGTTGGGGTACTGGACTGAGTAAGAAGGCAAAAGTGAGTAGAGCATCGATATCCACGTCTTCTTGACTGTAGATGCGATATAACCATCTATCTTATACTGGATTACATAGCTAGAGTTGCCGTGGTGGCCTTTTTTTCCCTGTTAGCATAGACTGCACTTCAAAGTTGGAGCCAGAAAAAGGCTTTCGTAGTGTGCTTTGGCCAGATGTTTTATCATAGGCATGAGAAAAATAACTAACACATCTTGGTTAAGAATAGTTGTATTATTTATTAAAGAAGTAACTGCAATAAAATTAAGAATATATAACCACTATCTTAGTTTTTTTATTATAATTAACCCATATTACTTTCTAAATCATATACCTATGAATTTGGATTGAATCTCCTATGGGTAAGCCACACTTTCTATGACATAGTTTTCTTGAGATGAAACTTGGACATGATGTTAGGTAATGTGACACCCAGTTTCTTATAGTTGTTATAGAAAGACAGACATGGTATGGGATAAAATGGAATTATCTGCTGTGATGTTTAAAGATAACATTGATAACCACTGATAATAGAAAACCACTTTTAGATATTTGCAGGCATTAGAATGAATCTGAAAAAAAATTTCATTTTTTTCTCAGCTGACATGGCCTCTCCCAGTTGGAATTCTCCCTATATTTTGAGACTGGGGAAACTCCTCTCACTTTTATCAGCTCCAGCTCAATTCCACTCCTTCACACAATGATAAGCACTATACATGTCTTCAAGTAAATTGTAGTACTTAAACTGTAGGACTCTAAGATCCAAAACCAGGGGATGCGCTCCTACAGAGACACACGGATGGGACTGCTGCAATAACATGAGGTTTAATGAAATTAGTGCACTAGGACTCTATCGCATGCAGGCAAGAGAGCCCCGAACAAAAGCTGGGAACAGTTTACATACAGAGTTCATGAGGGCAAACCACAAAGACTGACCTTTCCAGGTCGGGTCTCTAGGTGACTCAGATTATGACAAGGAGTGTCTTTCGCCCAGGTTTATTATGTTAAGGGCCCAGCTTCCTGATTCTACTTGCTCTGGGCCCTCCTCACCCGCAGGTGGGTTCCAGGAATGTTAATTAGCCTCTCCTTTCTTCCTCTGAATGTTAATCCAGCAAGTGTTCTTTGACTAAGGAATGTGCCCCTCCCAGGATGTGTCCTGGGACAGTGGAGTTCTTTCAAATTTAAGTTCAAACCGAGACCGGAAAGTCCTACAAAACCAAGTACCCCTCTTTTCTTTATCCTTTCAACATCCAGTGCCATGACTTTCAGCAGAATCATGAACTTCCCAAGTGTTCCTTTTTACTCGTTTTACCATTCTCTAATCCTATAATCATTTTCTTTTTTGACATCTATCTGTTCACTTTAGTTTCTTCTTATGGAAATCCTTACTTAGATTGTAATTGCAGGGATGTGGCCTTCCCCTCTGGCAATATTATCCAAGTCTTTGATCTCAGACCCATGCTTGTTCTTATTGGACTCCAACTGAATGCCCCAAAGGCACCTCAAAATTCAGTCTGTCTAAACATAACACTATGTTTTTTTCCAATGCAGGGTTCCTACTTCAATGAATGAACACAATATTTCCCCATTTGACTCTAGACAGAAATCTAGTTGTTGAGTCTGACTTTTCTGTTACTGTTACCATAACACCGGTAAAGACTGCATTCTCTGCATCTTGCTACACTGCACTGCTTACCATCCTCACACTCTACACACAGAGGCATAGTCAAATTCCTTTTCTTTTTTCGTTAATACTCATAATTCTTATAACTATTAAAAAGGACATTGCTAGTTCAAAGGGCATAAACTAAGGCTTTTATTGGATACAGAATTTTTTTTGTTTGAAACTTTTGGTAAACATTCAGAACTCGCAGCAGGGATACCATTTGCCAGGAACTGCTGAAGTGACACACTTGGTAGTTACGCGATATTACTTATCTGGTGTTCAGTTTCTGTTTTACTTAAAGGTGGGGTCTGCCATCCAT